CCCCCCCCCCCAGGGGAGGACATCCATCACACAGTAATCTTGTTTGTGGGAAATTAACGTCTCCTAACCCCAAACCTGCAGGAGACGGGACCTCCATTTATTCGTCCTTATCTGAGAAGACTAGAATATCTAACCATTTCTTGATGTTACAGAAAGGTAGCAAATTCTTCTCAATTATTTTAAGACCTCGAGTGTTGGTCCGGCCAGGGCTCAAACCCTCGACCTCCTGCACAACAGTCCAGCGCTCTATCCATTGAGCTACCTGGGAGGTTAGCTCAATGGATAGAGCGGGAGATCATGATAATTACCACAAGAAGAAGGAAAAAATCACAAATCAAACTACTTTGTATGCATGTACCTTTGTAAAGTTATTAATATGACCCATTCTTTTTGTTGTTGACATCATTTCTTTACTGGTGATTTGGTCTAAGAGGTCTTTCATGTTAGCAGCAGGATCTGTCACAAAAATACAAGAAAGGCCAAAGGAATCTGATAAGCTTTGATTTACCTCTATAAGTATAAGCGCTTCCTCTGCATAAATTTCTTATTATACCAAAATAATCGCACATCCAGGACTCGACAGTAACAGTAGCCAACTAGCCCCAGACTAGTAGGAAATTAATTCAGTTTTGACTAATGGTTTTCAATTTCTACAAGCCAGTTTGGCCAGTAAACAAACTGAAATTGTTGTAACATCTACGATATCACTAGCCACTTGGCTAGTAAGTTGAAAAGTTAATGCGGAGCCCTTGCACCTCCCCATAACGATTCAAAGTATTTAATCCTTAAACTCGCAAGATCAAATTGTTAATTCTCCTCTCTAGCTGCTATACATTTCCTTGTAAATCAGTTATGAGAATTTACTCTTAGATCAAGATAAAAACTTATTCCTGTTAAGTTTTAGTATTCTCATTAATTGTTTGCTGGATAAGGCATGGCTATTGTTGGGAGAAGTCATATGATAATCTCTCCTTGGAATTAACAGATTAAAACAGTTTAAAAACAATAAATAAATCTTTAGAATTAAGAAAAAAAGATATAAAAGATTGATGCATTATGCTAGATAATTTTCCTCACACCCATACCACCCCTTCCATAAGTTTCCAAACTTCCCAACTCAAGGACAACCTCTGATGTCCCCACCCCGACCCCCCACACCAAAATCACACCAGTAAGCCTAGTGCCTAGTGATATTCCGAGCACTGAACGTAATATTATAGTTGTTTACAATCCGTTCTTGGCTCTCTTTCTCTTTTTCAGACGCGTACGCATAGAAGGCCATAAATAACGATGAGAGTTGGCGACCTTTATCAAAAACATATTTTCAGAAAGAAAACAACCAACTGTTTTCTCCTACAGCCCGTAGTACAATTTCCCGCATGTCAAAAAACCGTTCAGTACTCAGAACAGATAAATATAGGATGAACTACTGCCACAAAGTTGGCAGAATGTTAAATAAAAAAATATGTACCTGTAAAATTAATTTGCAAGAAATACCAGCTAATTAGGTGAACAATGAAAAATCAATCAATGCTACTGTATGAGGTAAACCGATCAAACTCTCGTAGTTAATTGAATGATCAAATCTTCTCAAACAGAGAGCGATACAAAAACGCCATAGAACCGAAACAATGTATTTTCTGCTTTAAAATGGAGCTGGATGGGTTTATAAAAGTTAATATGCAAAGACAAAATAAGCGATGCTTGCAAAACAGACATTTTTAATTTTGAGTACTCAATATTTTTACATACCACGGCTCAGGTCGATGGGGGTGGGTTCATCGAGATTTTCAAACCTCGCGCCTGCAAGAAAGTGTCGAAAAATTAGCTTGTTCTACAAAACACTGCGTAGGATTCGCTGTCAAAACCTCACCCGGACCTGAAAAATTCCTTCTCATGTCGAAATCTGCGATGAAAGAGGGCAATTCACAACAGAAATCTGACCCTTCGCCGGTCGTAAATCCGACAAACTTATTACCAAGAGTCCCCGTTGCTTTAGCAAGAAATTTACTGGGAACGAACTTGAGTATTGACTAACTCACTGCGCGTGCTCAGAATAAAGTGTACCTCGTTCTAGCAATCAGCGGATATTACCAATCACTGTTGGAAACGAAGCTCTTGAGAGCACAATAACAAGACAGCTTTTCGATGAAAAACTGAAAAATTAATTTTCTAGTGGATGCCATCGCTTGATCATGGATCCTATAGAAGAAATTGTGTACTTAGAGGAACATATGAAAATTGCTTTCAGTGTCATGAACGATTTACGAAAAAAGAAAGAATTATGCGATGTCGTTCTTCACGTGGGAGAACTGGAAATCTTTGCTCACAAGGTTGTCTTGGCTTCATTTAGTCCATATTTTTACGCCATGTTTACGAATGACGTTTTGGAAAGTCGCCAAAACAGCATAACTCTAAAATCGTTGGATCCGAAGAGTGTGGAACTTTTGATCGAGTTCGCGTACACAGCGCAGATTCGAATCACAGAAGAAAATGTTCAAGAGGTGCTACCAGTGGCTTGCATATTACAAATCTGTCCCGTTAAAAAAGCCTGCTGTGACTTTATACAATCACAACTTGATCCATCGAACTGTATCGGTATAAAAGACTTTGCAGAAATTTACGGCTGTTTGGATTTAAGCAAAGCAGCGGAAAAGTTCATATTTCGCCACTTTTTACAAGTCTCGGAATGTGAAGAATTTGAAACCTTGCCTAAGGATCGCATAGTCGACTTTATAAGTCGAGATGAGCTGTTTGTGAAGTCCGAAGATGAGGTGAGGTCTGAATCTATGATTATATCATCCTTTGAATTCCAGAAGTATTCCTATGTGTAGTCAAATGGCGACGAGTGAAATTAGGAAATAATTTCACACGCGTTTTGTCAAAATTCTGATAATCAGTTTCCCTAGCCTTTAGGCGAGGGAAATTATCAGAATTTTGACAAAACGCATGTGAAATTATTTCCTAATTTCACGAGAAAACCATTTGATTACCTTGTAATATCGTGGGTGACAAATTACGTTCACAACCGCAATTGTTTCTAGCCTCCCAGTTAGCTCAAGGGATAGAGCGCTGGACTGTTGTGCGGGAGGTCGAGGGTTCGAGCCCCGGCCGGGTCCAACACTCAAGGTCTTAAAACAAGTGAGAAGAATATGCTACCCTTCTATATCAAGAAATGGTTAGATACTCTAGTCTTCTAGGATGGGACGAATAAACGGAGGTCCCATCTCCTGCAGGGTTAGGGGTAGGAGACGTTAATTTCCCATGCACGAGATTACTGTGTGATGGATGTCCTCCCCTGGGGTGGTTGCTGGGTGGGAATTAGCCCTGAAAAGCCCCCATGGGGAGTGGTCGATTAATGTATGTGTGTGTGTATGTATTTATGTATGTACGTACGTACGTACGTAATTGTTTTTACTGGTTTATTCTATTGAAAAGCGAGAACATGAAGACTATAGTTTTCGTTTAAAGCGTACATTATTGTCAGTTAAAGTTCGTAATTTTCTGAGTTTCTTCACCAAAAATACCTTTTGAATTCTTCGTGCCTGTTAATAACTTTCGGCCGCTTGTTTTAATGTCGTAACTTCTTCAAGGGTCATCGTCGATCTTAAATCTCGACGCCATCTTGGCTCTGACCAAGATTCAAGAGATGATACCATGGCAATTTTGTAATTTCACATGTGAAATCAAAAATGAACGCTGAAATTTTGCGCCAAAATTAAGGAGTAGTTTGTCACCTGTGATATTAAAAATGTAATTCCACACATCAACTTTTTACACCCTAAGCTCAGGCCTTACTCTCTTTTTTTCTCCATTTAGTGTCGTCCGACCGACCCAAATTTTTTGGCATTTTTAAAAAATAACGAATAAATAAAAGTACCTATGTAGTGAAACCATTTTTCACTTTAAATAGTTCTTTTCATTTTAACAATGAGCACAGTAACAGCATGGAGAAAAACAAGCTAGAAACAAAATCAGGAATATTTTTACAGTATATTGTGCATTTTGCTAATCCAAATATGTAAATATAATTTTTTTAATAATGCTAAGCTACCAGGCCTCCTATTCAGAAATTTTCTTGTGAATTTTGAATTTTTTTTTTATTTACATTTTTTTTCAATCTGACCAAAAGACCCAATATCAGGAAGGGCATTCAATGCCAAACAAAAAGAAAAAGGGGGATGGCCTACATCAGTATGCACATTCTCTTCACTGTTCTCAAGCTTAATACATTCGCCAAGGTGCTCTCAAGGAGAATTCGTTCAACAAATTTGTTTAACAAGAACTTCTTTGAAAAGTGATCATTCCCTTTATTCTAGTGACCTTAGTGTGTGATTTATGGACCCATAAATATTATGAGAGAAATTAGATGCTACATGTAAATTCCCTTTAAACCCCCCCCTCTAATAAGTCCCCCTCTTTAGTGCAAGAAAGTTATTAAGTCCCCCACCCCTCCCCCTTTGAAAAAGCAAAACTTCAAAATAACACTCCATATCAGTAAGTACAATAAATTTAGTCAATGACTAACTATAATTTTAGTTTGTCATTTGAAATTGATTATGGTGATTGACTGATTGATGTTATCATGTTAGCATCAATAGAAACAGTATGAGCGAAATTACAAAGTGATGCTAAAAATATGACATGGTTAAACAAGGTCCACTGAGAGAGTTAGATCATAAATTGAGTTCTTTATTGTCTTTATTAATAAACTGCCCCTCTAATAATTCCCCTCCAAAGTACCTGAAATTAAATAAGGCCTCCCAGGGGAGCTTATTAGAGGATTTATTTAATGGTAGTCACTTTAATAAGGGACCAAAGGGTTTTAAAGGCAATTCAATGGGGGGAAATACTGGGAATAACATTGATTCACTCCAAATATAATAAAGTTTCTTATCAAACCTTTAGATTATTATAAATAATTTTTTTATTATTACCTACTAGGTTCTTGCAGCCTTGTTGAGATGGGTAACTCACGATCTGAAGAACCGAACGCAGGAACTGAAGGATCTCCTGAAACATATACGAGTGCCATTTGTTTCAAACACTTACCTGAACTCTATCATCGAATGTTGTGAACAGGGCATGAGATCTGAGTTTAAAGAAATATTGATTGACGCTTTTTCAGTGAGTATTTGAAAGTTTGATTCCCTTGTTTGCAAACCTGCATGCATCATTCTTTCCTCTAATAAGAGGCCAAACCTATGAAGTACAGTACTGGTCTCTCGAGACGGTGGTAACTTACTCTTGAACGGCCTACTGGGTATCAGTAGTGAGTCATATGTCCCACGCTAACTCTTTCTTTCATAAAGATTAGCAAACTATCCCTCTTATATTTGTAAAACTTGTTAACAGTCACACATGTATCACTTTATTCTTAACTTGTAGGAAACAAAGAGATTTTCTACACTTAGCACAGTTCACAAACGATGCCCCCCTGGTCCAACTGTGATGTACTTTGCCGGGGGATACTTGAGAAGATCTCTTGATGTTTTGGAATGTTTTGATCCTCAGACACTAAAATGGACCATTCTCTCCCCATTGTCTGTGCCCAAGAGTGGTCTTGGGGCTGCTTATGTTGGTATGGTAATGATTATCCAAAATGACAAGCTACCATTAAATTCTCTATTATTATTAAAATGAAGGTGAGGCTCATTTGTCTTGAAGGACAAAGAGAAAAATCATCCACAAGGATTCAAATCTCAGACTGATGAATGTTTTGTGGTCCGATGCTATTCCTTTGAGCCGCATTGGTGAGTTAGGTCATGTATCAGCAATTCATCTGCATCGCTAATTCTAGAATGGAGAAATGATATCTTGGTCACTCTTGGAAGTGGAAGGGCTAACTGTCAGGTTAACCTTGATTGCATTAAGCTACAGAGCCTTAAGCTCTGCCAGCTAAGCCTTGACCNAGGACGGCTAAATGGACTCCGAAAACGAGGTCGAATGACCACACGTCTGAGCCTGAAGGGTCTAAAGCGGCTTAAAGGGTCAGCTGACTTTTCCATTGCTCTTATGTCATCTCGTCGCCATCATCGTCATTGTCAAATGCTCTCTCGTCTAATTCCTCGTCTCCGGCTGCCATATCGTTTTCACCGAGTGAGAGAGAAAGAATTCCAAGAGATAATCATTAAAGAACTGTTTGTTTATTTATTCTATTATTTATTTATCTGCGATAAATAAAGTTGCTGGCCCAGTTCAGCTTTTTTAAAGCTAGTTTAATGGGGGCTCGTATAAATAAAAACAATGATCGATCACAATACCGAGAGCTAAGTTCGGGGCCTACGATTTATCGTCCTTATCCAAGAAAACTCAAACATCTAGCCATTTGCGGATGTCTTGACCCTGAGTGTTAATTGGTTAATTAAATTTCATATTTTCACAATTTTTTCCCACGCAGAACATTTGACTGCGCTTTTCCAAAACTGTCAGTCTTGCGTCAGTAATCAGAATAATTGTATCCACTTTACCGTAACTTCTGGGAATTTCCTTATCATCGTCCTTTAGGTCTTCCTCATCAAACTCTATATCGTTCTCTTTCATGTTTTCTTTACTAAAACCATTAATGAAAATAAAAGAAAACCATGGCTGCCGCGACGCTATTCAAACATTAAATATTTTAAAAAGTAAAATATCTAACTTTCCTTCTACATTAATCAGTCTGACATTTGAGCGGAGGATTGAGTTGCTTTGTTCTCATCATTAACACAGCAACAGAATCTCCAATTAATTTAAAGCATGGTTCACTTTCCGGGAGAATAATTCATTTATAAACATATCCGTTAATCCCATAATTTTAAACAAGAAGGCTTTAATAACCGGGGTACGTAAGTTAAACAAGATTATTTGGAGTTTTATCAGCTAAATTAATATTGTATGATTGGCCCCCGTGATGGCACTTTGAGTGTTTGGCCATCGTCAGAGTGACAGCAAATAAGGTAAGAAGATCAAGTTTCCCGCTTTCGAATTAAGGAAACAGTGGTGGAAAACAAGAAAATGAAGATGTGTCTATTTTTACTTCCCAAGGCTAGTTAAATAGATTGTCCTTAAATAAATTGCCATTTCCCATCACAATTTAGTTTTCAGGAGGATCTCCGTAAATATGGCACCTTTATGAAGTCTATTTAATTTGTTGCCCCAATTATTATTTACAGTCATTTTTCAGTATGCAGCCTACCCTGTAAGTTTTTCTGCTTCAAATTCATTAACTGCAACTGAAAAGCCAACAGCGAGTACAAGGCCAAACAAAGCCAAAATACCGGTAACAGATATCTTCATTTTGACCTCTGCGTTGGAACTTGATTTCTCTATTGTAGAAAGCCTCAAAGATCACTGCTTTTATACATCCCAATTTTGAGTGACATTAAAATTGACTTTTCGTTCAGACCCTCACATCACTCGATATTTGATCATGGAATGTAGACCCTCGACGATTTGTAAAAAATAGACTTAAAGTGCACGTAAACCCAAAAATTTTTTTCGCTTAACGAAATAAGCTTTGTTTTTTTGGAGTATTTCTGTGCAAAAATTTTTTCATTTGCTCAAATCTTTAATATTCTGTGCCCAGTCAAAAGACGGAAAATCGGCCGCCATCTTGCCCCACGGCCGAGTTTAAAGAGGAATGCCTCTAGCGGGTGATGTGACGTCAAATCGAGAACATGAAAGTCTGCATTTCACACATTTTCACTTTTTTGAGGTTGTAGTCGATATTGTCTAAAAAATATGCCTACTAAGTGTGTTGTAGGAGGATGTAGCAACGCGCGAAATTTGCAAGAGGGTATTGGGCTTCATACATTCCTCATACAACACACCTAGTCGGCATGTTTAGGACAATATCGACTACAACCTTCCCAAACAAGTCAAAATGTGTGAAATGCAGACTTTCGTGTTCTCGATTTGACGTAACATTACCCGCTAGAGTCATTTCTCTTTAAACTCGGTCGTGGGGCAAGATGGCGGCCGATTTTCCGTATTTTGACTGGGCACAGAAAATTGAAGATTTGAGCAAATAAAAAAATTTTTTGCATACAAATACTCCAAAAAAAAAAAAAGGCTTATTTCGCTAAGCGAAAAAAATTTTTGGGTTTAGGAGCACTTTAAGAAAACTCTTGTAGTTTTGCTGCTGAGAAATACTCATTTATCCTGTTGAGCAGATTTGGCTCGCAGGCACTGGCTTCTAAGGTTAGTGAGAAACAAATTATTTGATTAGTTTTATCCCTTACAATAAACTTTAATTACAAGTAACAC